CATCTTTTGAAAATTTTCAAAAAACACTCATGAATGTGTGTATTTATCTTTCATTATATAAAAATTATGGCAAAAAAAGATAATAGAATGATGCTTAATTCTTTTTTTATAATTTTCTTTCTATATATTATTAACCCAAAAAATTTCTTTGACAAATAGTAGGTGAAATAGCATGTTACTTGCTTTGCTTAAAACAAGAAAGATTTTTCTGATGATTTTTTCTTTTTTTAAGCACGGAATTTAATCGTGAGTTAATGAAATAATATAGTAGATTGCACCTTAATGATAAGATAATTGACAAAAATGAGATATGAACTTCGTGTACTAAATGAGTTAAACAACAAAAGATTTTGGATCCATCTCCAAGGATTTTTGCAAACCAATGTAATCAAGAAAAACTCCAATATGGATGATATATGATACCATTTTATTTGTTATAAAATTAAGCGTAAACACATATATGATGCTTTTTTTTTTTTTCTTTTTAATTCATGGTCGGTGTTACCATTTGCATCGCCAAGCATCTTAAACCAGCCAAGCAAAATAGAAAAGTGTGGATAAGATTCTCAGTGGCAAATGACAATCTTGTTAATTTTGCAAAAATGAGGGGTGTATGGAAAGAATAAACTCCAGATGTTCTGGAAACAGTTCGGCCGAAAAAAAAAAAGAAAAAAAGAAGAAGGATGAGCTGGAAACAGAAGAGAAAGACATCGAACTAGAGAAAGCAAGTTTACAAGATGACACGTCAGCTCAAATAACACGTGTTGAAAATCTAGTGGCAGAAACAAAAGAGAAAGACGTCGAACTAGAGAAAGCAAGTTTACGAGATGACACGTCAGCTCAAAAAACACGTGTTGAAAATCTAGTGGCAGAAACAGAAGAGAAAGATGTCGAACTGGAGAAAGCAAGTTTACGAGATGACACGTCAGCTCAGACAACACGTGTTGAAAATCTAGTGGGTGTCAACTCTCATCAACACGAGATTTGAAAATTGATTCCACGCCACGTCATACGGAAAGAACTTAGTGTCACAACTCACAAGCTATAAAATACTCTGCGCTTCTAGAAACCACGTGATTTTTGCCGTGACACTCAAGGGTGTAAATTTTTACAACCCTAGTT